GTGGACACGGCAACCCCACGCTCATGCAAGTGCACTGGGTGGACACGGCAACCCCACGCTCATGCAAGTGCGCAGCATCTCCTCTACTTCCTCGCCCCATAGTCGAGTGAGAGGACCTGGATGGCCTTGGTTCCTGTAGGATCCTCCAGATCCTTGGGCAGGTCAGGATTGAGGGGACTCTGGCATGGGAGGATACACAGTTGTCCTGGACGTCCTGGCCAGAGCCAGCAAGTGACCCCCAAGAAGAGACAGTGCCATGCTTGAGGTGAAGTCTTCCCAACTGTTTAGACCTTTTTTTGGTTTCTTTTCTGTTGTTTGAGATGGGGTCTCAGGTCTTGCTACACAGCTCAGGCTATCCTTGAACTCATAGCAATCCTCCTGCCTCAGCCTTCCGAGTGCTGAGATCACAGGTGTGCACCCCTACACCCGGCTCCTGGTTAGAAACCTTAAGGCACTGCTTAGAAAGCATTCCCTTATGTTCTTTGTGAATGCATGTATAAAAATGTAGGGACACTCTTTGCTTTTCAGCCTGGAACATTTCCTGAATTTGTACGTCAGCGTTGCGCGGGGCCACGCTAGCCCTTGGTGCCGCAGTGAGCACCGCTCTGGTCCTGAGGGGTCTGCTCTGCGAGTGTGCTCCACAAGGGTCCCTGGCAGGCCCAGGCTGCCCCAGGAGAGTCAGCGGCCTTGCGTGTCTTGAGCTGCTGGGCCTGAGCTCTCTCTCGAAGGCCTGCTTCCCAGCCTGCCAGGAGCCCCAGCTCTGCCTCCGCCCTCCCCACGTGAAAGGTAGCTTCCTGCCACTGAGAGTTCGCGACCTGGCCTTCAGCCGTCTCCAGCCAGATCCCTTGACGCCGCATGGATGCAGCCGCGCTGCCTGAGGCCTCCGCCAACACTGCTGCCTTTTGGAGTCCTCTCCTCCTTGGGGCCAGGGCGGCCTCTGCCCACTCCCACACAGGTCTGTCCCTCTCCTCTCACCTGAGGGCTGGAAATGCTGGTTCCTCTCCCTTCCTCCCTCTGTGTGCAGCCTGGCCCAGGCCTGCTCTTCTGTGCCCGCTCTTCTGTGCCCAGGGCAGGCTCCGCTCACCTTCGCACTCCTGCGCAGCTGCTGTGGTGGCCTGCGTGTAGCCAGGGTAGCAGAGGCAGGAGTAGGAGCCCACACTGTTAACACAGCGCCCTCTTCCTGCACAGGGGTCCCTCAGACACTCGTCGTCATCTGGTCAGGAGGCAAGAAGCGAGGTTAGGGAGGCCAGTGTACCTTTCTCTGGGCACCTGCCAGCACCCTGCCCACACTAGGGGACGGTGCTGTGTGGCATGGAAGGGTGAGGGGACAGAGGGAGCCAGGGAGACGCAAGACTCTAGGCTAAGCCAGGCATGTAATCTCAGCCCTCCGGAGGGTGAGGCAGGAGGATCGTTGGGAGTTTGAGACCAGCCTGGGCTACAAAGTGAGCTCAAGGCCCGCCTGAACTGCATCGTGAGACCGTGTCTCAAAAAAAGGAAGTTGCTGGGCTAAAAGCCACGGGCTTGGCCCATCACACCCACGTGGGCACTATGATCCTTAGGCTCCTGCAGTGACTGCCAGCACCCACGCCCTGTTCCTGGTCCCCTTCCAACTGTGACCTTGAAAGGACTTCCTTTCTCCTTCAAAGCCACAGTGGATGTTGCGTTTGCATAAAAATATTGCCAGGGGAGGCATGAGGCCCACACTCGGCCATCGTGGCCCCAGTCCTCTCCTCTGGGTGTGGCCCCCACCCAGACCTCTGTCCACTCTGCAGGCAGCAGCACAGTCGGTCTGAGGGGGCTGACCTCAGGCGAGGCGGAAACCCAGGTCCGCCAGGTGGCTTCCCACTCCCTGGGGCCTGGAGACTCGGCAAAGATAAACTGGCGTTGTCCGGGGGGCCACACTCCTCAGCGCAGCAGCCATGCAGCACTGCCCAGACTGGACTCTTGCCTCGGTCCTCTGCTCCCGCTCTGATCTACCCCAGCCTCTGCGTAGGCATGAGACACCCAGGTGCATACCTGTGCAGTAGGCCCGGCTGGGGTGCAGCCGGTAGCCGGAGTTGCAGACACATCTGTATCCATCTGGGAGGGTCACACAGGCTCCAGGGCCACAGATGTTGGCTCCGGCAGCACACGTGTCAGTGCCTGTGGGAGATGGTACAAGCACAGGTTACGGCACAGTGGGTGAAGGCAGTGGAGTAGGGTGGGGAGAGTGCCGGGGCAAGGACCTAGGGTCCTGGAGGACCGCCAGGCATCTGCCCACCTTTGCCAGGCCTCTACACCCTCCCATATCCACAAGAAGCATGGCCTTGCATAAGGCCCGTGGGGCTTCTAGGAGCCAGGGCCCTGAGCTCTGCCTAGGATGGAGCTCACTGCTGCTTCCCCTTGATGAAGGCCTGACAGGATCTGGCCGCCCTGCTGGGGCCTGCAAGCTGCCTTCACCCTGAATATGGGCCCAGGGCACTGCCTCCAGGGACGCCTGCCCAGCTTCTCCCAGACAGAGGACAGGGCTGGGGAGGAAGGTGATGGTAGAAGTCTGGGGGCGAATGACAGGAAGGCCTGAGCTGGGTGAGTGGGGCCGCAAACGCCACTGAGACTGGCCCATGCACTGGCAAGACCCAGAACTGCCCTGCTGAGCCTTTTTGCCTGGACTGTGCCTCTTGGTCAGCATAGGACCCTGCCTGGAGCTCCAGGAGCCTCTGAGCCCAGGGCAGGGGCATCCTGGGAAAGGTCAAGGGGCATATTCAGGAAGATTGACCCCACCTTGACCACCGTGCCCTGGCCTGTTCCACCGGCCAGCAAGGGCTCTCTGTCTGCTGGAGAAAGTCCAGAACTCCCTTCACCCTTGCCTCTTACTCAAGGGGCCTTGACCCTTGGGATGACGGTCAGTGAGCCTACGAGCACACCCAACCCCTGCAGAGGGCAGCCTGAAAGAGCACAGTGCACAGGTGCAGCTGTTCACACACCTGCCTTGCTTCCCAAGCGCCCCGAGAGTGAGCCCATGAAGAGGGCACACTCCAGAGCATGGTAGACTTGCCAGGGGCCTCTCCACACTGCCCCCGTCATTGTAGCTGAGCAGAGGGGGTAGGATGCAGGTTCTTGGGCACTTACACAACTTGGGTAACAACTGTGTTCCTTCCCAAAACAACCCTCCTCAGGACAGGTGGCCACTGCTGCTGGAGCTCCCACTGAGCTCCCGGGAAAGCCCCGCCCCCTTCTGTGTGTTCCCCGCTTTGGGATTCTCCCAGAAGGCCTCTGCCCCAGAGAAAGCCTAGATGGAGTTTGTTGGAAGTGTCATCTGGTTGGACAGGCAAGGAAGGGGTTCTGCTCGTGCTCCTGCCCTGGATTTGGCTCCAGTCAACCACATCATAGGGGTGGTGGCAGATAGCCTACAAAGGCTGGGGGCAGCTACCTGGGGGAGCTGAGGTCACCAGCACATCGGTGGGAGGGGCCAGGTGCTCCTCTACTTGGGTCTCTGGAACCCCCTGTTCAGGCAGTGGTGATGTTGGTCTTCCAATGGCATCTGCTGCAGAGGGCAGAGGGGCGCGGGTGGGACCAGGTCCTCCTTGCCCAGCAATGGCCTCTCTTCTCCACTGTTCAGGCTCCCAAGAAGCAGGGGTACAACCTGGCTGAGTCACCCCTGAGCTTCCTAGTGTCCTGGGGCTCAACTCAGACAGAGCCAAAATTCTAGAGAAGATTCAGTGTTACCCTTGACCTCACATGGGAGGAGAATGAGACACAGCCACAGGGCAAGGCCAGCCAGCTCCCTGGAGGCAGCAGAGAGCCCAGGTCTCCCAAGTCCCGCTTCAGCATTCTTTTTCTGCCTGCAGTTTCTTACAGTTTATAGAACTCTGCCACAAATAGCAATGTCTGAGTGGCTCATGAAGCTGTAGGACTGGGCTCAGTGTTCATTCCGTGGGCCCAAGAGCCAGAAGCTCAGCCTCCTGTCTCCAAGCCCAGGTGCAGTCAGAGGCAAGCTCAGAGTTTCAAAGGGGACATGCAGCCTCTGGGGGAGAAGGCTGGGGGAGCCAGCCAATTCCCTGCTCCAACCAGTGCCCCTTCTTTGCCCTGGCTTACATGCCGAGTGGCACCGTGAGACTGATTCTGGTGGCTAGGAAGATACTTGCAAAGCATCATGGGTTTCTCACTGACTTCACAGACCCTTGGGTGTGACGTCCCTGAGTGTCCACATGCCATGTCCCACAGGGCCTCTCCTGATTGGACCCTGGCGACTAGCTCATGGACACTAGACTAAAGGCTATTGCCTCCTCCCTTCTCCTTTCTCTGACAGCTGGTAGAAGGACTCACCCGGGCCCCAGGTAGGTGAGTGGGTGGCACTGGTTGTGACCTGCACAGAAATGAGAGAAGGTCACTTTGGACTCCTCACCGTCATAACGTGCGTCCTTCCCCAGCACTCAGCCCAGCTTCAGCCTTCCTGCCCACTCTCTCATCCACTTTTCGCTCATTCCAAGGACAGATGGGTCCTCCGTAGGGACCAGGCATCCTGCCAGGCACGTCATGTCCACGGCCTTCCTGAACAGCTCGGACCTGACGGTGGGCAGCTGCAGTGATTAAGGGAGCCGGTGTGTTCTGCGCCGGCTGAGTCTGCACATGGTGGACACGGGCAGTAGCGTCGAGGCTGCGAGCCCCATGCTGCAGGCGGAGTGACCGATGTCGCAGAGCGTAGCTAGAGCAGCCAGGGCTCTGGAGTCAGCGCAGGGACACCAGGACACAGCCTGCACCTGGGCCCTCATCACCACCACAGGCAGAGGCAAGAAAGTAACAGTGAAGAAGAAAAAGAAGAGAACTAAATGATGGAACTTGACAAAAAAGGGGATACAGATGAATGTCCATTTTGTATCTGTGTATCCAAAGTGGTTAGGAAAGATACATAGTTACATTCTGTTAATGAATAGAGGGATTTGTTCTAATGGTGTTTGTAGATAGGATATCAAGTCCGCATCCTGTACAGCAATTAACCAGTAGGAAGAATGTATGCAGTGTGTGAATTATTGAAACTGTCCTAGCGATTTGATTTGAAACTGTCTCCTTGCTATTTGTTTCTCAATAAAATTATGGAAAAAAATAAAAAAGAAAAAAAAGAAAAGAAAGAGAACTGAGGACTAGAGGTGCTTGGGAGTGACTGGGGCTGCGAGGACACAGAATGAACGCTTCACTCAGGGACAGCACGCAGTGCTGGGCGTGGAGAGATGCAGTATTTGGGGACAGCTGGGTTTGTAGGCCAGAGGGGCCAGGGATAGGCAGGTGGGGGTGGTGGGGATGAGTGGGACGCACAGCCCGGAGTGCTTCCTTGGTAGAAGCCCGTGTTGGGTGCATGGAGGAACCCTGGGCCCAGCAGACAGCCGGCGCATGGAGGAACCCTGGGCCCAGCAGACAACCAGACGTACGTGGTCTGAGGCTGCGCGCAGCCGCACCTCTGCTTCTCCATGTATCACTCACAGAGGAGCCCCGGAGGGCTGAGCTCAACCAGCTTGGAAAGTGCTGGGTCCAGAGTGAGCCAGAACTGACCAGGCTTCCAGCACACATGCAAAGCCAGACTGACAGCCAGCACAAACAGGACGGCTCCTCTCTAGGGGCCTGCACAGCCCTAGATAACAGGCTGCTTGCACAGTGGCTGCTGGTGCTGTCGCTTCCTTCAGGGTCACTGGCACCTCTCCACATAACCTGACAGGTGCTCCATCCTTCTCCCTCCTCTCCCTCACGGGACATTGGCCTGGGGCCCAGTGACTGCGGGGCCCACTCTCCTGTGCTCCTGCCCTCTTCCCTGTGGAAAGGCCCACTCACCTGGCCAGTCTGAGAGTCACCTGGGAAGGGAAGGGTGAGCGTGAGCTCGCACAGAAGACGCTGAGGGCCCTGCCACCCCCAGGCCTGCTCCTCATGGTCTGCACCCTGACTGTGTCCCCAGCAGGCCAGACAGTGAACGGAGTCTGCTCTCTTTATGCTTAGACTGCCCCACTCCAGCCTCTCCCTCGGGAGAGGAAGGCTGCTCCTACTTCTTATAGGCCCCCACTGACACGAGTCCCACTGCTCTGCCCCACTAGCTCTGTGACCTGCCTCCCTGCACTGCCACCTAAAGTCAGGACAGGCACCTACAGACGCCCCAGGACCCACCTGCCAGCTCTAAGGCCTTGCAGCAAGCACTGCCCCAGAGGGCCTGGCCAGCTGGCCAGCAAGGACAGGGCTGCTGCTGCCTCCCACAATCCCACAAGCAGCTGCCCTGGACATAAGCAGGCCTCACACCACGTGGGAGAGCAAGTGGGAGGACCTCCAGCTGCCCAGCCCACTGCCCCAGAGACGGGACCCTAGGGCCAAATACCCCGTGCTGCCATTTGCTCCCCAGCCTAAGTACCCTCGTCAGGGCTGGCCTCAGCTTCCAGCCAGGTGTTGGTGGCCACCCGCAGGGGCTGCCTCTCTCCTGGCCCAGGCAGGGCCCCACCGCTCTGCTGTGCCTGCTCCCTTGAGGGCCTGGCCAGTTCTTCCTCCTCAGCTTTCCTCATGGACAGGCGAATATCTGAGCTCGAGTACGTGTAGCCGTGGCCAGCAGGGCAGATCTCCATGAAGGCCTCTGCAAAGCCAACAGCCAGAGGATAAGCTGAGGGGCACCATTCCTGCAGGAAACCAGGTTCCCCTTCCCAGCCCCTGGGGCATCAATGAGGGGATGAGCGGGGAGGGAGGGCCTGTCTTTGGCTTGAGGGGTCTCCCAGGCTGGGAAAGGGGCCACTGGCTTTGAGGTAGACCTGGATGGCCAGAGCTGGGATGGGGTCGGGGTTACCTGTGCCAGGCAAGGGGCATTTCTCACACTTGCTGCCCCAGGCTTTGCCCACACGGCTGCAGCAGCATATCTGCTTGGTAATCTTCTGGGCCAAAGGCAGGGTACACGTGCCAGGCCCCAGGGACCGGTAGCACAGTCCCTGCTGCATGGAGACAGCCTTGTCCGCTGCAATAGACACGTCACTGGGGATGGGCCATGGCCACAGCAGGAGGGGACAGCGCACACAGGGGTCATGGGTGGAGGTGTGGGTGGCTGCGTGCGCTTAGACTTGCCCGGCCTATGTCTCAACCTGGAAGTTTGGGGCCTTAAAAACATTCATAAGAATGGAGTGATTGGAAGAATAAAGCAAGTGATGAGGAGTAACGGTTGCCCTGGAACGCAGCAGTGCTGGCAAGACCGAGCACGCAGGACTAGGGCAGCTGGGGGCCATCTGTGAAGAAGCTGTGAACCCACCACGGGAGCCAGCGCATCACCCTGCGGATGCCGTGGCTGCCTGGCCGCCTCCAGGGAGCCCTCACCTGCCCCCAGCTTCCCGTGTGGAGCAATTCGGTTGCTTTTGCTTGAGGCATGGTGGGTTGCATTTCCGCAACTTGCAACCCACAGGCCCCTGCCTCATGAACCTGGTGCTGTGCAGGTGAGAGCGAGGCAGGTGACTGCCCCGTCCAAGGTCCCGTGCTGTGCGCAGGTGATGCGTCAGTGAGTCCCTGAGCCCCGGACCACCAGGTGTGATCTCTGCCTCTGGCAGCCACTTCCTTCAGGACCCCACTGCATCCAGGGTGGGACCACCCCACTCCCAGGTGGGAGTGTTGGGAGGCTGGACCGGCCCCGCAGCCACCCTGCCGGTCCTGCTCGGAGAGAGGAGACAACCAGAAACATGCCCGTCCTCTCCCTACAAGGAGACACACCGTCAGGGGCCAAAGGGACTAAGCCTGGGGAGGCCCCACAAGCAGAGAAGACACTTGCATTGGAGCCCCTGCCAGGAAACAATAAGGAAATTAACACGCCTGCCTGATAGAGGAATCCCGAGTGGTAGGAGGGGAAGGAAGGGTCACAAGCCCTATGAGCCACTGCGCCAGGCTCCTTGGTCAAGGCCTGGTGTGTCGCCCTCCCTCGGGGCCCCTCCTTGCTGGACCCTGAGGTGCCCACTGTTTCCTCCCCCTGGGGATACAGGGTGCAGGTTCAGGCTGCTTCCGCTGAGTGTGTCCTCTGGGTGGCACCAGAGTCTGCCTCCTCCCCACGGCCTCAGCAGACTCCGTGCCAGGCGGTCTGCAGGCTGAGCCTTGGCCTACCCCAGGCACTCTTTTGAGGTGGAGGTGGCCATGCCCCTGAGCCAGTCAGGACTGGTTTTGTTCAACTCTGGTCAGATCCTGCCCAAGGAAAGTCCCATCTGGGCCATGGCATCAGCTCTGCCATCTGGGGCTGCCAGCCTGGGCCTCTGCCAGCTGGAAACCACAAAGGCCACCAGAAACAGCCACCACGCGCCCGCACCTCATACACTCCTCCAGTGCTAACACTTGAGGCTCATGATGCATGTGTGTTTGTGGGCTTGGAAGATACACTCAGGAGGAACCTGGACTACAGAAAGCTGTGGAATGAGAAAGCAGTGCCAGTGGTCATGAATGTCCCCTCAAGAAAGGGCATTTAACAGCCACGTGACCAGGCCACTACACTCAGGCACTGGAAGGGCAGCAAGTCCCCAATGATACAGCAAGTCCCCAAGGTCAACAGGGCAGCAGATGGGACAGAAACGGTCAGAGGAGACAGAAGACAAAATAGAACACAACCCCACTGCCAAGCCGCCAAAGGAAAGCCAGCGGCAACTGCCTGTTCCGGCAGGAGGTACAGAACCAGTGCCAGGCTGAGGAGGGTGCGCTGGTCCTGGGTGGAGTAGTGTAATGTTCCGGCCTGGGCACTCACATACACAGCGGCTCCGCGACGGGTCCAGCATCAGGCCCGGTCTGCACGTGCACAGGTAGCTGCCTCGGGTGTTCACGCAGGCCAGGTCCTTGCACAGGCCCACGATCAGGCACTCGTTGATATCTACAGGGGCAAGAAGGCCAGCAAGCACCCGCCCACCGAGGCCCGACGGCGGCAGGGGCTGGCAGGGGCCTCTAGAAAGTTCTCTAAAGATGACGACAAGAAAGCAAGAGAGCTGCTGCTGACTATGTATGCTCCCTTTCTTGGTGCCTCAGTTTCCTCATTTGTAAAATGGGAAGAAAGACAGTAAATGAGAAAAACTGCAAACCATCTGATCCCACGGCTGGCATGTATAATGACCCTGAGAGCTAAGGTGCTTGGAGTTCCTTCATGTGGTACATATTTAACATGGGTGTTTAACACATGATACCCATTTAATTCTCCCAAACAATTTTAGCAAGTAGGCGCACATACCCTTCTCTTATAGAAGAACCTGAGGCAAGTAACTTGCCAGTCTCTGAGCTCTGGTGACTGACACATAGCACACGAACAGAAGAAATGGGCAAAGGCGCCTGTCTGGGTTGGAGGCTGGTGCGTGGACAGCCAAGTCCCTTCCATCTCCCTGTACCACTGTTACCTGGTGCTCGGTCCCAGAAGCCCGACCCTGGCTGGCCCGGGCCCGGCTGCCCTTTTGCCTGGCCCACGTGCCCTTCTTGTCCACAGGCCAGAATCCTTTCCATGGCCTAATGCTCCCCAGGTGGAGAGGCAGCCATGTAGGCTTCCTCGAGCTCCTCCCGAGAAGAAACTTCTGGTGGAGGGACGAGGAGGACCGAGCCAGCTTTCCCCAAAGCAAGTCAAGCCACCCATCTGGACACGTCAAAGCTCTTGGAAAGGAAGCTGTCTCAGCTCCATGCTGGCCCTGCCGGCCCCAGCAGCCCCTCACCAGAGGTAGCCTCGGCCCACAAGGGCTCCTGCGTCTGCTCGCTTGGTAGCAGCAGTTGCCCTTCAGCAAGGAGGTTCCACCACACCTCTTAACCGAGTCACCATGGTGACAAACCCATTACTTAGCTCCTTTTCCTCCCTGTTCCCTGAGATATCCTGGGCCTGCCCCTATGGCCTCTCTAACTCAGGCCACCCCGATTTCAGCCCATCTATAGCGCCATCATCCAGGCAAGGCCAGGACGGGGGCTGGGGTTCATGGCACCCCACCCTTGCCACCTGTGCCCCCACCACCACTTGCCCCTTTCTAGCTGTGGGTTGAGGCGGGCGGGAGGAAGGCAGGCAGCGACTCTACTGGGAACAGCCCTCGGAGGTCCAGACCAGTGTGGGCTGACTTGATCTCTTCCCTTGGTGGAAATTCCTCCCATTTCTGGGAGGACAGACATGCTGGGAGGGAGGTGAGCAGATGTGTGAGGGTGGGGTGACACCTTTGGACAGCCTAAGAGGCACTTAGCCATGCTCTGAGTAGGGGCCGGCGAAGGCGGGGGTGGGGGATACAGGGGTGGGGGCGGGTGAAGACAGGGATGGCGTGGGGACTTGGCTCTTGGCTCTTGACTCTTTCACTGTCAGGTCCCCGACTCCCTCAGCCCCTGGAGCCAGCAGCTCGGACAGCACCCCATGCTGGGGTTTGGAGGTTCCCCGCAATGGCCTCCAGGCAGTGACAGATGTTCCTCTCTCCCCTAGGGTCGTGGTTACCCCTGCATCACCAGGCCCCTCCATGCCCCCTTCCCAAGCCCAGCTCTGCCAGATGGTCCTTACCTTGGCAGTGAGTGACATTCAGTCTCTTGTATCCCAGGGGACAGTCCAGGTGGCCATCTTTAATCACCTGGGAGGCTGAGGCGGGAAGACACAGACAGGTCTCCTTAGAGAAGCTGGGGATCCTGTGGTGCCCACACCGGGAGGTGGGGTGCAGAGTAGGGATCCAGCCCCCTCAGCAGCCCTGGGCTCCTGCCCCCAAGCCATCACCCTGGCAGCTCAGCAGGCTCCTCTCACCTCCACCAGCCTTTATTACAAGTGACATTGAGTACAAGAAGCTAGAAAATGAAAGGCGAACACAGCCTGATGGCATTTGCATGCAGACTCTGACAAAGGCGAATTCACAGAAGAGACAATGTGACGGCCACCAGGGGTGGGGGCAAGTTCAGCCAGGAAGGAGGACTGAGTTCAAGGGATTTACGATAACACAGGACTATGAGGAATAATAGTGTGTCACATGTTTGAAAATCACTAAGAGGGAGGCTGACTCTCTCTCTCTCTCTCTCTCTCTCTCTCTCTCTGTCTCTCTCTCTCTCCCCCTCTCCCTCTCCCCCTCCCCCTCCCTCTCTTTCTCTCCTGTCTTTTTTTCTTTTTCTACTACTGGGGATTGGTTAAACCCAGGCAGTTATACCCCATCCTATTTATTTATTTACTTACTTGCTTAGAGACAAGATCTCACTAAGTTGCCCAGGCTGGCAACATGTGGGTTGTTTTTTGTTTTTTGTTTTTTTTTAATTTTCTCCCTTGGAAGGGAGCTGGGCTGAAGTGAAAGGTCTAGAGGGGCAACGCGTGGGAAAGGCAGGCTTCTAGAGAAATACCTGAAAGCCTGTCTGGTAAGTGCCGTCTTTGCCGATCGCCTCTATCTCAGATTGGGGCTGCCACTGCCTCTCCTCACACCACCACAAGCGCTCAGAGCTGGTTCTCAGCTCCTGGAAGACCACGCGCAGCGTCCACGTGTGGTCTGGTGTGAGAATTCAGCAGCCCGGAGCTGTGTGAATCATGGTGACCGGGAGGGGCAGGGGCAGGGGCCGGTTCCCTGTCCCGTGCAGTGCCCGTCAGAACGCCTGACGTCCAGGGCAGGCTAGGTGAGGGCGGGCCTTGCCCTCTGCACCATCGTTTCACCCCAGTGCCCAGCCCAGCATCAGGAGCAGCGCAGGCACTCTGTCCAAATGGAAACTAATAACAAAAGTTGAAACTGTTACCAAGAAGAAACTTTAAAAAAAAAATTCCAGCATCGCTTGCTCTAAATTGGCTTGAATATCATTAATTTAGCAGTCACGGCTGGTCACTCCACCGTTAGTCTCCCCACAGCCTTGCTGGAGACAGCGGCTCTCAGTGGGAGATGAGAGGACAGCCGGCCAGCCTCCTCCCTTGGGCCAGCCAACGTGGGAGGGGCACCTCAGGCGGACAGGACGGCTTGGCGGGGCCTGCCTTCTGCTGCCTCAGCCTTTGTGTCAGCCTGTCCTCAGCCCTGCACGTAGCCATGTTGTGCACTTGGAAGCCTTTGGTCCAGGGCTGAGAGGCAGGGCTAACTTGCCCAGGCTCACCTCCCCTCTCAGGGCCCCGCCAAGCTGCCATGACCAGAAACACCGATGTGAGAGGGGCAGAAAAGGGCCCCTCCTGAATCCTGGCAAATCTCCTCCCCTTTATCAGCCTGGGTTCCATGTGTTCTGCTCCCCATTCCTATCTTCTCTTTGTAACCCCTCAACCTCATGGAGTGCAGAAGCCGATTTGTGAGCGGGGCTCCCACGACTCCTCTCTGGCCACTGAAGGGAGGTCTTTCTTTCTCCTTGGCTGCTGGACACTAGTTCTTCCAGGGACGAGTTCTGGACCTCGGCTTGGGACCAGGCCTTCCCTACAGGTTTTACAAGTATCTTAACTTACTTCAGCCACATCACGGGCCTCGGAGGTACTTACTAGACCCTTTTCTCACTTTGTAATTTCTACTAGTCCACATGTGCCGTACATAAGGATCACATTCGTTGTAGGGGATTGGTGCATGCACGGAACTCATCTAATTCTTTTTTCCCACTTCCTCCTCCACCTCTCTTTTTTGGCCTTCATCAGATTGTTTTATTTATTTTAAGTTCTTACAAAGTTAATTATCAGGCATACAGATTAATAAGCCTAATAAGCTAAAAACATATAAAGCACACAAGATTATGCTGATTGAAGGTACACTACATACACTGTCCATTGGGGAATACAGTAACCTTCTCTCTCCTTATTATCAGCCTTTGATTTTGCACTTTATTTATTGAGTTTCCTGTCACAAGAAGCCACACCACATTTCAGCTGTGATTGCCTTCACTTGGCAGAATGGTCTCGGGGCATCCGCTTCCCTACCAACGGCTCAAGGGACTATTTCCCTTGTGGCAAAGCAGTATGCTTGCGGGCTGGTGAGATGGCTCAGTGGTTTAAAGCACCTACTTAGAACAAGTTTAGCAAAGCACAGGGCCCGCGGTTCAATCCCCCAGCACCACATGCCTGCCAGCCCCGCCCCCTGGTGGGCTGAGCTGGCCACACACACACACAAATAAATAAAAATTAAAAAAACAAAAACAAAGCCATACTCGGTGTCACCGCCCTATCTCTTTACTGTTCGCCCTGCTGCCGGACACAGAGGCTGCTTCTAGGACCGAGCTATTAGGAGGCGTGCTGCGCATGCACCACTGTGGTGCAAGGTCTCCAGACCCTTTGGGGAAGACACTGAGAAGAGGAATGGCGGGTCGGTTGGGCTCTCTAGTCTCTTCCATAGTGGTTTTTCTGGAGCTGAGATCCCAGCATTGTGTGCATGTGCATCTCCCGAGTGGCCCGCGGTATTAAACATTTTTCATGTGTTTATTGGCCACTTGTACTGCTTCATCTGAGGAGCGACTGTTGAAATGCTCGCTTTTGATTGGGTGTTTAAACGTGGGCGTCACAGGAGGCTGAAAACAGGAGGACTAGTTACTCATGCCTGCCCGAGTGCTTTGCGAGCATTTTGCCGTGTCCGACGTCTGACAAGACGTCAGGCTGGTTCCAAGTGGCCCTTGGCAAGCGCTTTGGCTCTGTCCTGTCTCTGGCTCTTGGCCTGTTGCAGCCTGAGTTTCTTCATCTGTAGAAGTACAGACAGCAACTCAGTTTGTAGGACTGGCCTGAGAGTTTGCCGGCACCCGAGCTGCAGGCTGAACCTAGCTGGGGGTCTGGCACAGTCCCGGCAGGTATCTCCTGAGGCTGGATCTTCCTTTTCTCATTCTAAGGCTTAGATCTTCCCTCCCCTCCTCTCCCCTCCCTTCTCCCTCCCTCCCTCCTTTACTCCAAGTCTGAGGACAGACTGCCAGCCCACTGCCTGGATGGATTGGGGCAAATTACCCTACCATTCTGAGCCTAGGTTTTCTTATTAGTGAACTGGGAATGCCAGATGCTTGCTCACGGCTGACTGTAAACATAAAATAAACGTGTAAAACTCAGAGCATCACATTCGTCACTTTTCAGCAATTTGTCTTATTCACGTTTCTCCGTGGCTGTGGGGATGGGTGTTCCACCCCAGACAGCCTCTGACTGCTTCCCCGGGGCACTGGAGCCCACGTCAGCATGGGGAGGTGGGCAGGGCCCTGGGAGACCCCCAGCTCACTCAAGAGCCACCCAGCCACACCCAGGCACCAGCCGCCCTGCAGCCCTGCAGGCAGAGGCACCAGTGTCGTGAGTGCCACCCCTGGGGGCACGGAGGGGCCGAGCCCAGGACATAGTGGGCAGGCTTCTGGCGCCACGCGAGAAACTCTCAGAGCACAGCCCAGCCGCAGGGACATCCAAAAATCCCGTCTATCCAGGGTGGGGGACTGGCTGTGTCCCCGTGAATCCCAGAGGGCAGGAGCCCCACCCAGGGCAACTGTCCCCAAAGCTGGGGTCCTCGGGTTTAACAAACACCCAGCCAGTACACACGCAGCCTCTCCAGAGAGGCCGAGAGAAAGGCCAGGAGTCAGACAGACCTGGGCTGCAGGCTCGACTTCCACATTGTGGACACAGGAGCACCCAGTCCCGAGACATGTTAAGGAGAAACCCTGAGTGCGGGGGGCACTTGGAAGTGCTCGGAATAAACAGTGGTTACGGTGGCAACGTGACAACAATGACACTGCTGCTGTGCTTTGCCTTAGGCTTTGTTCCACATCACCCACACACTCACCCTCCCCAGGGGCTGACGGCCACACCTAGAACAATCCTCGAGGCTCAGGACCAGAGCAAAGCGAAGCTTCCTCTCTGTTGAGAGCGCCAAGTAAATCCGCCAAGTAAATCTCCAAACAAACATGTAAGCCCTCAGCCCCTCGATAGCCTTCGTACACTGTCTTAGCAGGCATACCGCTTCGGATGGTGGCATCGTGCCTCTAGGCTCAACATAGTAGTGCTTCTCGGCTCATGGCTGGGACTCATGGCTGGGACTGCCTGCTTCCTCCCCACCCTTTCCCCTCCGTCCTCCGCCTTCTTCTCCCCCTCCCCCTTTCCCTCCCTCACCCTTCTCTTCTTCCTGTACTGCGAATTGAACCAAGAGCCTTTGGCCTTAAATTTTTTTTTTTTTTTAAACAGGATCTTGCATAGTCACTAAGCTGCCCAGGCTGAGCTTGAACTTATAATTCTCCTGCCTCAGCCTCCCAGAGCGCTCCATTACAGCCTCGTGCTACCATGACCGACCCCTCCAGTTTTGATTTCAATTTCTGTTAGTACGTTTGCAGCACCTCTCCAGTTTTCAGTAATTTGTCCCTTGTACTCACTTTCCAGGTGAGCACCACTTACCAGAAACTTCTACACTTTGGCTGTTTTTCTTGAGATGCACCTGGAACAACCCCACCCTCTCCTGCCTGGGGCAATTTCTCTGACCAGGTCTCTACCTTTCAGGGCTGCTGGGCTGTGTGCTGCTGACCTGCCTGTTGGTTCGACCCAGGTTTCTAGAGGGCTGTTGTTCTTCATGCATGAGCAACCCCATGACTGCAGCCCTCACGGGCACCCTCTGAGCCTTTAAATTCCAGTCTGGCACCCCCAGAACAAAGAGGGTGGGCTGGGCCTGCAGCGATCAGGCTTCCCTCCTGGCTCCGTGTGTCCTCGCCGTGTCCCTCACCCATCACTGGCTCTGTTTTCTGCTTGCCTGAGAGACCATCGAGGTGTGGTGCTGGCACGTGCAGTGGCTCAGCACCTAACAGCCGTCCCTGTTTTTAGGGCAAAAAGAGGCAGAATTCCTTGAAGGGGCAGAAGAGAGACCCGCTCTTCCTGGAGATGGGGGTGGGGTGGGGCGCTGAGTTCCCCGAGGAGCTCATTCTGGGCCAGGCAGAGGAAAAGATGGCCTCGTGGCAAACAGCTGGGGCCCACCACTGTGGGCCTCCCCCTGTGTGCCAGCCCTGCTGTTCAGCCAAGGGCCCCTCGGGTTGACACAGACAGTGCCAAGCCTGGTGGGGCAGGGGCCAACTTTCCAGGGAACACAGATGTCTGTCTTATATGGAAACTTAAAAATGTGGCCTCAATCAAAATGGTTTTTGAGAGCCATTTTTCCAAGACTCTGGCAGGGGCACTGCAGAGGCATGGGCTGGGACCTGTGATAACTCTCAAAGGATCAGGAGGGATCAGGCTCAGCTAAAGTCCTGGGAGGTCAGAGGGGGACACATTAGCTCGCAGTCAGAGGCAAGGGAGAGGAGAGAAACCACAGGCCACCTAGACGGGCTCCTAGAGCTGCTGCCTGAGGCAGGGAAGTGTCCTCGAACCAAAGCGGCTGCCTGTGCCACGCAACTGAGACTTCGTGGTAGCCCTCGTCAGCGTCAGAGCAGCAGCATTCTGCACTGACCTTCTTGAGAGGCTGGCGTGGCCCCTCAGAAGGCCAAAGGCCGCTGGAAGGTAGCCACAGCCGTGGAGTTCCTGGGCTGTGCACTCTGGTGTTTCCACCATGGTGCTGCAAAGCCACCCACTGAGGGTGGCGGAGCCTTCCCTGAGAGGCACAGTCCTACCTCATCAGAGGAGACACAGGCACAGCCCCTGGGGCCAAGAGCATTCTAGGATCTGGACAACTGCCTGTGCGTCAGGCCTCCCCAAGCCCACCCCAGCAGCAGCCGGTCCCTGCCCCTGCCCCTTGGTCCTGCACAGCAGCCTGCCTGTCACACTTAGCACCCCCAGCCCTAGGCTTGGCGTGGAGCTAGGTGTCTGGCACTCAGTCAACACAAACAAGTTTCCTCAGCGTCTTGCCCCTTCCCTAGACAGTGCCCAGCTGCACTTTCACGTATTTTAAATGTTTATGCTGCCCGGTCTTTGTTATTTCTTGCTCGGCATGCTGGCGTGCTCTGCGTTCCAGGCTCTGTACCCTGGTGCCCAGCTTGCTGAGCTGTGTGGAATACAGTGGGTGAGGAAGGGAGGAGGGTGGGTGGCCCCAGCTGGGGGCAGCAGGGTGGGAGGGCAGGCAAGCTGCACCCACACACACAGGGCATCTGACCCACAGCAACACGCCCACCACCTGGACAGCTCACCAGCTCTGTGGGGAGCAGGGTCCTTGGTCTCCAGGGGCTGCTCTCATGAAGCTGGCTTGGCAGGGGCAGAGCAGGGCTGCCTGGCAGTGGGAAGCTCCTGCAGTGCAGGCCTTAGCCTCTCCCAAGTGAGCTCTCCCATAGTCAGGATTGATTCCAAGGTCTGGGGACATGGCCACTGTGCCCAGCAGTCCTGGCTGAAGGGCAGTGGCCTCGGGTCTTTGAATTAAAGAGGAAAAGCCCGCCCTGCGGGGCCCTACGCGCTGTCTCCTACCCAGCGGGCTGCATCTCAGTGGCCTGGGATCCTGCCAAGTGGAAGCCAGCACTGAAGCAGGATTTGGGAGGCCCCTTCCAGAGCCCTTTTCCTCAGCCACTTACCAGTCTACTCCTTTGCCACCCCTGGCCACCGGCAGCTGGGCCCACTCTCCCCCGCTACGTAGATTCTCAGACTGCAGATGCAACTCCACAGAGCCCCCAGGCCCAAGACAGCAAGCACAGGGGAGGTCCTTGGGATGCTCTAGAGTTGCCACTGGGGTGAAATCCGTGCTTGCTCCGGAGGCGCCTGGGCAGGTCAGCACCTTGGCCAGCAGCAGCCCTAGGTGCACGCTAGGCCCTGTTTGCCTGAGGCAGGCAGCTTTTGGGGACCAGAAATACCAAAGGAAGGGGCTGGGATTCCTGACCCCATGTGCGCCTTTGGCTATGCCCATTTCTTCCGAAGAGCCAGGGCTGGGCAGGAGCAGGAACAGACATTTCTGCTTTAGGGACTGCTGCTCACTTTCTTGGTCTCACCTGCATCTGCAACTTCCTTGGGTTGTTAAACTTTCCCTTCTTTGCTGTATCCCCTAAGCATTCTTCAGATCTCACCCCAGAAGCTACCTCTTCAAGGAAGGTTTAATCCACCAGTGGTGCACACCTGTAATCCCAGCATTCAGGAAACTGAGGCACGATTGCTATGAGTAAAGGCCTGCCTGGGCTACAAAGTGATTTCAAGGCCAGCCTGAACTGTGTAGTGAAACCCTGTCTCAGAAAGACTGAAAAACCCCAGACCAACCCACAACTAGCACTCCTTTCCTTATCACATACAGATGTATTGGAAAAAAAAAAAAAAAAAAAAAGCAGCCCACTGACGGAAACTCCTAGAATCCTAGACTCAGTCCTGTAAAGATGGCCCCAGAAGATGGAAGCCCGTGGTCCTCATTTGCAAAAAGCGTCCCAGGACCCGTAAGCGGCCTGCTTCGGCAATCTCTGTCCTCAGAGCGGCAGCACTCTCATCCTGGTGCCCATAATGCCCTGTGGCACCGCCAGGGCGTAAGCTCGTAGGAACGAGGCACAGCCCCAGCTCACTCACCACACACATTCACGGCTGCTGTAAGTGGTCTTGGTCATCAGAAACACGGGGTGACTGAACAGAACAGGGGATGCAGAAAGAAGCCGCAAGAACGGACTGACAGGGAGGATGGGGCGAAGCAAGGAAAGAAGAAAGTGGGAGAAACATCTCTGGCCTTCAGGGGAAATGCAGAGTAGTTCTATGCATCAGTAAGTTGGACTTTTCCCTTTCTTGAGGGTCCAAACTGTCTCCCCAAAAGGCTCATGTGGGGCTTTGGGAAGTGATCAGACCCTGGGGTGCTGCCTGATCAAGGGCTCCATCCACTGGTGAACTCAAGCTGCGCGTGCGCCTAGGAGGTGGGCCCGCTGGAGGAAGTGGGCCCCGGGGCTGGGCCTCTGGGGGACGCGTCTCTCCTCAGAACCTTTCCCACCCGCTCCTCCTCTGGCTGCCCTGAGGGGAGCCGCAGCCCTCTGCTGCGCCCTTCCACCAGATGCATCTGCCTGGGAGCCAGCAACCATGGGCTGAACCTGGAGCCCAAACCAACCCCTGCCTTCCCATTGTGTAAGAAGGGGGTTTCGGCCGGGCAATGGAAAGATGCTAATACACAGCCTCATAAGAGCTATGCTGGCGACGGGACAGTCATCCCTCAGTATCCAGAAGGAACTGTTCCAGAAGCTGAACAGCCACCAACATCCACAGATACTCACATCTAATCCTAAGCTCACGTAAGCTGGCACAGCGCTCACACAGCAGCTATGCAAACCCTGCTGTGTAGTCTGAGTCACCCCACAGCTCTTAACACATCTAACGTAATGTAAGCTCTATGTAAATAGGTGTGAGATGGTATTCTTTAGGGAATTATGACAAGAAAGTGTTCAGCAAACATCAGTACGAGGCAGCCAACACAGGCTCGACGTGGGCGGTGAAGGGCACGTGCCCCAGTGAAGCTGGAGCCAGGCTCAGGGTCCAGAGCAGCAGAAGAGCATGAAGTGTAGGCTCTACATCCTTCACGCGTGCGGGCTGACCATGGTGTTCGGTGCATGGCAAATTTAAGTTTTGCTTTTCAGAACTTTCTGGAATATTCCCCCTGAATATTATGTTTAATCTTCTATTTCTTTATTTATCTGGTACAGGGTCTTGCTACACAGGTAGGACTTGTAACAGTCCTCCTGTCTCAGCCTCTCCAGCCCTGGGATTACAGGCATGTGCCACCACCCCTGGTTTTGGTGGCTGGCACAGTATGTCTGGGGTTCCAGAGCTGGCAGGAACATGGTGATGGGGATCAAACCCAGGTCCTTGTGCTTGCCAGGCAGGTGCTTAGACCACCAAGCTATTTCATTGCCCCCCCTCTCTGAATATTTTTGACCCAGAGTTGATGGGCACTGCAGACACAGAACACCTGCAGACATGAGGGCCAGTTATGATTGGCCACCATTTCTACCCTAGCGCAAAGACAGGCCAAGCAGGTAGAAAAGCCAAAGTGGTGCATGTTCCCCACTTCCTGAATGTCAGACCAGGCCTTTGAGATCAGTTGACTCCTGAGTTCTCGATGCTTGACATACAGGAGCGACTGAGGAGTATTTGCTGCACAAATGGATGAATGGATGGATGGAGGTTGGGTTTTCTCTACCATTCAAAAGAAGGCAGGGGGCTGGGGTTCTCACCCTCCAAGGCTGAGGACACTCTAAGACAACCAGTTCACCCTGGTTTAGAGCCTAGAAGGCAGGAACAGAGGTAGGGAGGTGAAAAGGCCTTAGGTCCGTCAGGGAGAGAAGGAGGAAAATACTGAATCACCAGTCAAGACCTCTGGTGCCTGGGCATGGTTGTATGTGGGAGAGAAGGGTGCAGGGCCCACACCTGCCAAGAACCCTAAAATCCACTGAAGAAGGAGGGATCCCTCATAGGCCAGCAGTCGGAGCAGTAGGGCAGGCAGCTGCACAGAGGGCTGAGCTGGCTGAGCCATGTGGCCTGGTCTGCTAGCCAGAGACCCTGGAAGGCCTGCATGCCCACCTGCCTGCTCCACCTCCCTGACCAGCAACGCCCTGAGATACGGGGAGTGGAGGGCATGCCCTGCAGCGCAGCCAGGCCCTGGGAGAGCTTCCCCACCACCCTGGACCTCGGCGCCAGCACTCACCTGGTCTCGGGGGACATGGGGCACATGAGGTCACTCCCCAGAAGGCTCCTATGCCACTGCAGCAGTCCTCTTGGGAAGTCAGCTCCAGCAGGGGGTTGGCGCACTGGAAAAGAAGCCACGGACACCTGTGAGCCCCTACTTCCCTCCCTCGCATGCACAGAGATGTCCCGAGAAAGCCCAGGACCCAGAACTCAGTCCTTCCCCTCTGCCAGGGGACACTGCCAGGGCAGCAGAAGGGCTCAGCCAACACACTGGAAGGAGGCAGTGGACAAGGCTATGGTCCCACGGGCCAGACCCAGTCTTGCGCTGAAGGGGGCAGGAGCCAGCCACAGTCTGCCCTGTATGGTCTGCACACCGCCAGCCTCCATGAGGCCCAAAGGATGGGCTTTTCTCCAGCAGCCGCCTGGGAAGTCAAATGTGAATACCCTTCCAAGAAGCAGGGTCCCAGGCTTGGGGACATTACAGATTGAAGGCCAGGGAGGATCTGGAACTCCTGTCCTAATCCCTTGGTTCCTCCTTTTCCCAGCTCCCCTGGCCTCAGTCTCCCCAAACTGAAGCCTTAAGGAGTGTTCTCTCAGGGGCCTGGCCCTAGCTCAGTTCTTTAAGTGGCTGCTTCCACCAAGCTGTCAGCCTCAGGTTGCTGGAGTTCGAGCCCCACAACACTCCAGCCCGCCAAACAAGCCCTGAGGGCATTTGGAGAAAAAAAAAAAGAAGTGTTCTCTCAGCCCTCTTCTTGGGTGGCTGACTGGATCTCCACCAAGAGTTGAGGATACCTCAGGGGAAGTGGGCATCTCTCGTCTCGTCTTGGCCCCACCAGGCCTTGGGGTGCAGCCTGCATTTGCCAATTCCACATCTCTGTGGCCCGCATGGAGCCTGGAGACCAAACTCCACCTGACGCTAATGGTCCTCCCACGGCTCAGCTGGTAGAGCCTAGAGCTCCCTGGGGCCAAACATCTAGGCTGCCTTTGCCTGGCAATGCTGGTGACAGCAGAGGGACTCCCTTAGTCCTCTTCTGTCTTCTTGGCACCACAGGTACCAAGCGGGGCCAGGGTAGGAGGAAGCTCAGCCTTTCCACACTCAGGCACTTCTGTGCCCCGGGGTTTCCCACGTGGAAATGGAGACTGCAACACACTCCAGAGGAACAAGCGGGAGATCGAGGAGAAGGGCAGGGCAGGGCAATAGCCGTTCTGGAGGCCTCCGGGGCAAGGAAGGCACTGCCCTCTCACCTGTCCATTCACAGTGCTCAGGTAACACCGGCCCAGCAGTCCCTGCAGCCTGGACACCGCTTGGGGTGGGGACGGAAGGGGCTGTCCGGATTGGGCCGGGATGCTGTTGCCATCCCAGTGGCTGAGCCGGGGGTCAGCCTGGAGCTGGGGCGGAGCTCTGGTCTCCACGCGGTTCTCCTCCAAGGCCCGGTCTTCGCCCCGCACCCGGGCCACCTGGTGGATCTGCACAGAGGCCTCTGGCGGGTGGTGAATGTGCACTCTCACCAAGGAAGGGTTCACGGAAGCTGGGCACAGGGGCTGGGGTCAGAAGCAGGAAATGGCCCCGCCTCGCCACCCCCCACCCCCGCCTGGCACCTGCACCCCTGGGCCAGGCAGGCTGAGCATGTACAAAACGTCTGCATGTCTTGGCCACGTGGACCCCAGACACTCCTGCCCCAGGGAAGCATAAGAGCAGGCTGCCTCAGGGAAAGATCCTCGGCTGCGGGCTTTAAACCCTGCTGGCCCCACCTCCACCATGCTCCCGCACAGCTCTGAGCTCCTGCACCAGCCTCTACCTCGGCCACCTCAAAGCCCTCACTCCTGCTGTCCCTCCCTGTCCTGGACTGTGCTTCCCTGCCGTGTGCGAGGGGAGGGTGTCCTCTCCCACAGCAGCACGGGGCACGTGGAGCCCCACACCTGGCCTCCTATAGCACTGTGCAGTTCTGTTTCTGTAGCCTTAATTTGTCCTTTCTAAAGGTGGAAGACAGAGAAAGTGAGGGGTTGTGTCTGGGTTGAAATCTGTGGCTCAGGGCCACAGGCATCTGAGGACAGCCTGCTGCCTTCTACCACTTCACCTTTCCCAGCACAGCATGACAAAGCACACTGAGCCTTTGAGGGGAAGCTCAGGGGACAGAATGGAGCCTTCAGTGGAGAAGGGAGGAGGTTTGCCCTGAAGGCAGGCCAGGAGAAGCTTCCCTGTGCCCACCCTGTTCAAGGCACTCACCGAGCTGGTTGGACAGTGGCAGTGTGAATGTAGACTGCTGCAAGGGGCCTCCATGCAGGGCCCTGGCACGGGAGCCCCTCCTGGGGGGCTCTGGGTCGGGCTGTGGAGCCGGCAGGTGGCAGAACTTCCCAGTGGAGTTGCTGGGACACCAGCACTCGTCCCGGCCAATGCAGCGGCCTCCGTTCAGGCAGGGGATCTGGCAGAAATCTACAACATCACCAAGGGGACAGGCGGTGGGCCAACAGCAGTACCCTGCATGTGGCCAGCCAGTGACAAGAAGTACCCAAGTGTGGGTGGCCTGGGGGGCCGCACGCCCTGAAGATCTGGAGTGAAGGAGGGCAGGTAATAATTGGCCCTCGTCCCCACATAACCTAGAACATGGGCATGAGCATCATTACCTCCCTCTCCACTTCTCAGTGTTCGTAACCCGCACTCGGAGAAGTGTGCGGCTTGCCTGAGTCACACACCAGACACCAGGCTGTGACAAGCTTGCGGGATTACTCGGCTTTCTGTGCGGTATGGGGCAGGAGCAGCGAAGCTTTCTTTCCACCCCAACTCGCTGCGCTCTCCAGGAAACACTTGTGAGGAAAGTGACTCACAGATGCGGAAGCCAGACTTGGGGTCGTGTCCATGGCCACCCTGGCTATACAGGGTGGTGGTGTCGCCGCGCTCACAGCTGTTGGCGCAGTGCCCGCGGGCGCAGGTCTGCTTGCAGATGGTGGGGGTGAAGATGATCTTGATCTTCTTGATTTTCTCGGTGAGGTTCAGCCCTGCGGACAGAGGGCTTGGGTCCGGGGGCAGGGCTGAGAGGCACAGCTGTGGCCTCCGGAGCCTGGCAAGAAAGCCCCGTGGGACTAGGGGCGCGGCCACTCCCAGGGCATCTGCTGGTCCAGGGTGGGGACAGGGTGACACCCAGACAGGTCCTCACTCTGGAGCCCAGCTGGGCCGGCACTCACGGCCCTCCTTCCCCAGCCTCCCGAGCGCTATGGCGCAGGTGTGCAGCACCACACCCATCTGTAGGCCGTGACACCTTGAAGCCACAGCCATTGCGCTCACACTTCATGCACATTAACTTCCACCCCTCTGGGTGGGTGTGACTTTAGGCTGAGTCCTCAGAAACTGCCACTTCGCAGGTTACAGTGGCTGAACATGAACAGTTTTCCTATGTCCAAGGACAGCTGGACTCTGAACCCAGCGCCATGGGATGGAACACAGCTCAGACGTCCCTAAAGGAGGGAATTCCCAAGGCAAATGGGAGAAGATAAAAACTGAGGCAGGTTTAGTTCAGACTTGCGGGGCCTGGTCACCAGCACAGGAGCGGCACCTCATTTGGTGCGTGCTGGTGAAGCCACCACAACCTCCTAGCAGATCCAAAGGAAGCACAGGGCCATGCTGAGCCAGGGAGGCTGGGGAGGCTGGGAGGCGAATGTCTGGCTAAGGTGGCATGGAGATGCAGTGGGGTGCTGCCCGTTTAGGCAGAGGGTTCAAGACGGGCTGGAGGCAGGAAATGGAGCAGACTGTGAAGCTGGCCTGTGTAGGGGGAGGTGGGCCAGAGCTGGTTCCCAGCTTCTGCAAGTCTGGGGCCCCGCACAGCCACTCTGAGGAGCACAGAGGACACCCACACAGACAGGGCACGGATGTGGGCAAGGACAACATGCGTGCTCTGGTGTGAATATGGATAGGTTGAGGGTTGCCCGGTCTTAGTGCTACGTAAGCAGCTGGCTGGTGGGCTCAGGAGGGGCGGGTTAACAGGAAGGACAGGTGCCCGGGCCTGTGCGTGCAAGTCATGCTTCAGGCTGGGTGGGAAGGAAGCAGAGGCAGGAGGGGATGAGAGGCCAGCAGAGGCACAGCGGCCAGGGGCCAGGCTCTCCGTGGGGGCCAAGTCCAGATCGCTAATTTGGCACCCATGGGGCTTGGCACAAAGGAAGGGCCCAGGCATTCTTAGCTGAACAAACGAGAGGTGAGGTGACAGCGCAGCTCCTCCTGTAGAGTGGAGGAGGAGGCTGCAGAGGTGGCACAGAATGGGCGGGATTTGGATGGCCTCCTGTGCTAGGTCCAAGGCAGTGTCTGCTTACCCCAGGGGGGCGAGAGGTAGTCGAGACGTGCTGCCTGCTGGGCACTGTCCCTCTCCTCAAGTCCCACAGGCAGAGCATTGGACGCCAACTGCCCACTGGTGCTGGTGACGACTGGGTACCGTCGGACGGTCCGAGACAGCCCCACATGCTGCTGGGAAGGATGGGTCTGGCTGAGCGCACTCAGGGTCCTGCAGAGACAACCATGGGGGCTGCGTCCCAGAAGCACGTCTCTGTGGCTTCCCCACCTGGCTGCCACCTGCCTGTCCTTGCATTGGAACAATGCTTCTGCATGGCTGACTCCTGGCCACACAGGTGCCCCAGGACAAAGGGACAGAGGTGAGGGAGGCCCGCCATCCTGGGAGCATTACTCCGCACTCCTCCCCCCCCCCCCTTGTGGAATAGCCAGGCCTTTGCTAGACCATCTGGGTAAACAGCTCGGCCTCTCTAGCCCTTGACTGCAGAATGAAGGCTGCAGCCTGTTCCAATATAGCTCTAATATTCTGAGTCTCCAGAGTCCTGGGCCAGTCCCTGCCCTCAAGCCAAGTTCTAGATCCTTCTCCAGCCTCCCAATTGGATTCTGCCACTTGTTCTGTTCTGTTTTGTTTTGTTCTGGAGAGAGGGCCTCATTATGCAAATCAGGCTGGCCTTCAACTCACTTTGTAGCCCAGACTGGCCTTGAACTCACAGCAATCCTCCTGCTTGCTGGGATTACAGACCCCCACACCTGGCTCTGCCATTTCTTAATGCAACCTGATTACCTGTGTACCAGAGCCTAGAATCTCCATTTCACTGAGTTTGCTGTAAAAAATAACATAAGAACAATATTCTAGGTGAATGAGTTTATCCTCTCTCCAACTCAGCAAGTACTTTTGTCTAATTCCTTTCAGCCTTTGCAAGTGATACCTGTTGATACAATTTAAATTCTACAGGCTGGGCAGATAGCTCAGTGACTTAAGTGCCTGCCTGGCAAGTGCAAGGTCTTGAGTTCAGTCCCTGACACAAAACAAAACAAAACAAAACAAAAAACAAAAAAACAAAAAACAAAACTTAAATTCTAATTTTTTTTTTTCAGGGCTGGCCAGATAGTTGAGTGGATTTTTTTTCCTTTCTTTTCTTTCTTTTCTTTTTTTTTTTTTTTTTTTTTTTTTTTGACAAGAGCTCTTTTATTTGAAACCTGTCCGCTCTGTAGACACAGGGCACTACTTCGTCTTCTCCTCCTCCTTGGACAGGGTCTTGACGATCTCTTCCTTCTTGGCTTGCAGGCGCTCCTCACGGCGCTTGCGCGCTTGCTTGGTCTTCGACCTGAGAGCCTCGGCCTGGTCAGCCAGGAGCTGTTCGCGGGCCTTGTCCGCCTTCAGCTGTGGATGTGCTCCATGAGGACCCGCTTGTTCTAGAACACATTCCCCTTCACCTTCAGGTACAGGCTGTGATACACGTGCCGGTCATCTTCTTAGATTCCGGGTATCGCTCCGGATCCGCATCCTGTGCCAGCGGGTCACCTTCTCCGGCATCGGGCTTTGGCCGTACCCTTGCGCTTACTGATGTCCGTGTGCCTGCCCGGCCGGTGAGCCAAGGTATTCTTCCGCATTGCGCCCGATAATGGACAGTCACAGGCTTGCAGATGACCAGCCCATCTTTGATCAATTTCCGGCTCTGCTGGCGGGCGCTGGCATTGGCGATTTCACTGGTCTCCCTGGGGTCCCTCCAGCCCTTCCTTTCGCACCGCTGAGGATGCTAAGGCCGGCCTCTTCTGCAGCTTGAGCAGCTGTCGCAGCACGAGGAAAGCAGCTCAGTGGATTAAAGCACCTGCTTAGGCAGACGCAGGGACCGGGGCTCAGCTCCGGCTTGCATGCTGGTCCCGCCCTGGGGCATGCTGATCTGTGTAGTGAGACCCTGTAGACACTGTACTAAACACATTTTTAAAAATTCTGATTTTTGTTTTCACTTAGCACCTTGCTTTAAATGTCATACGACCCACATCACTTTGGTGAATTAGAAAAATAAATTGCAGGATAATACAAATACTATGTCTCCCGCTTTGTATTTTAAGTTTACTTTAAGTATTCCCCCCCCCGGACATATTTATATGGGAATGAAGGGCCTGGAAGGGTCTGTAAAGTGGCTATGCCTTGGGTGTGAGAGTTGCTGTGAGTAGTTTTAAATTACACATTTTTATACTTGCAGAATTTTACGCAACAGATACACATCACACAATGAACATGTATTTATTTTATAATAAAAACAACTATTGGGGCAGGGGAGATGGCTCAGTAGAATAAGCACTTCCCTGGCAAGCGCAGGGGCCTGAGTTCAATCCTTGGTGCTGCTGCCAAATAAATAAATAAATAAAATAAAATAAAAACAGCTATCTTCCCCAAGGGCTCCATGTTATAGCCACGACAGCAAAGGCTCAGCAGGAGCATGGGAAACGTGCTCAGACAGCAAGGACCAAGCGGACAGTGGTGGCAAGCAGGTACATGTCCAGAGGCCAGAGAAACCAGACTCTGGGCAGCTTCTAGACGCTGGGAACCATGGGCTCTAGCAAAGCCAAGGACCCCAGCGAGCTTCAGGAGAGAGGCAGCTTTCAAGCTGCTGCTTAATGGACAGCTAGAACTTGAAGAGATCAAGACAAGGAGAAGGAAGATCCTTCAGGTTAAAAAAATAACATAAGAAATGCACAGAAGAAGAAAGCATGGGCTGTATTTAAAGAAGACTAAGGATCACTATATAAACCACAGGATGGAAAGGAGGGGGAAGGAAAGAACTGTAATTTGGTGCTTACATGTAGCAAGCATCATGCACCATTTACCTAATAAAACAACTCTGATCAGAAACCTTTGCTCTTCTACTTTTATATAATTATTTTTCCTTCATATTCTGTAAGGACTTAAAGTTCAACATATCAATATTTGATGGAAAATACCTGTTCCAGGATATGCCAAAATGTTTGATATATCGACAGATAGGATAAACCAAACTGCATATATTGCAGGTTAATAATTAGCTACTCTTCTGGAGGGTTAACAACCTAAGTTAGCAGATCAAAATTTGGAGAAAAGGAAGGGCTGCATGATTGGCCAACATTTTGGCCCTAGCCTTTCAAGGTCAGTGAAGACTCGGGACATAGGAGAACCTGTACTGTAACAACATGTAACTCAGTTGTGCTCCAAACTTTCTGATCAAAAAGATTATGGAGCCACAGAATGTGTTTCAGGATCTAAAGTGAGCCTGGGGAGAGTCACATGGAGAGAAAAAACATTTTCTCAAGCTTTCACAGAGAGCAAATTGGTCAAGCAATGGCCGTGACTCATCCTCAGGTCAGACACTGACAAAAGGATGTACAAAGGGCGGTACAAGGCTACAGGATAAATCGTGAGAGTACTTGGCTGACCTTATCAGATACAAAAGTTACATTTCTGGGTAATAGGTCTTGCTGTATCTTGGTCTTAATCATCCAGTAGAAAAGTATAAAAACGAGGTATATAAAGTAAATCCATATTAATATGATGAGCTGTAAAAGGCTCAAGTCAGTAACTTCTGAGGATAACCCACTAATATTATAGACTGCTAGACAGTGTTAGATGTTTAGTTGAATTCAAACACTTATAGTATTTAGATGCCAATAGAATATTCACCTCTGACAGACAAAAAATAAATAAATAAATAATAAAAAGAAAAAAATGGAAATGGAAAGAAGCAGTCAGTGCTCTAATTAGCTTCGTCTCCTTTTTTTTCAATTGTTTGTACTTTTTCTTTTCTTAATTTCTTATACATTGCTCCAGTTTTTTCTTCTTCCAGTTACCAAAGACGGGTGCTCATATTATCTACAGTGTTCCCAGAAACGAGTCAGAGACTGAGCCCCAAAAGAAATCTCAGCGAAGGATATAGACAAAGTTCACAGGGCACAAAATCAAATGTTTCTTAAACAAGAAATGGGCTCAACCTGTCCCCTTACCAGAAATGCACAAATGAAAACATGGCAGAGCATGTTGTAATCAGCCTAGTAAAGCCTCAAGAATTTTTTGTTTGCTTGTTTGGGTATCAGGAATTGAACCCATGACTTTGCACTTTCCAGACAGGCACTTGTCCCACTGAGCTCCATCGCAGCCTGAGCCTCAAGAGCTTAATACCGTTCATTTGGTGAGGCTCTGCAGAAGGAAGCACACAGGCGCTACTGGCAGGAGGGTAAATGGATGACTCCTGGAAAGCAATTGGCAGGGTCGATTCACAGCACAACACACAGATGCTTGCGCCCTGCAGTCGACCTGCAGGATGAACCTGCAGTGGTGGGCGCTGCTGCCCCCTCGGGCCACCATGGCAGCTGGAACATCCCCAACATCTGCATTCCTGCGCTCTACTCTTGGCCAGTGGGAGTCACCTGAGAGGCTTCTCCCCCAGCCCCCATGACTGCAGCCAGGAGCTGCTGGAAATGGACCCTCAAAAGCGCCTGGCCCCTTGTTTCAAGGTGGGGCAACACCTCAAGTTGCATTCAAAACCTGCACAAAGCTTGATTTCTGTGCTACTTCATCTTTGCTCAACACGAGCCCCCAAAACAAATGCACCCACATCCTAGACAGGGGCTTATCTAAGACATGTGTAGGGGTCTAGAATGATGCACAAACAAAGTTACTCATCGCAGCACCATTTTGTAATATTTTGCACAGAACAGAAACAGCCGAGGCACCCTCCGAGGGAGGACCCCTCCACAGAAGGGCACGGGGTGGAAGCAGAGGCTGCCCCTTCGTGCCAGTAAGGAACGCTCTCTGCATCAGACTCGCGTAGGAAAGCACAGCCCGCATCACACCCCCACACACTGTTTTTACATTTTTAAATAGTTGGGAAAAGTCAAAGAAGAATGATATTTATTGACATGAGAAAATGAAATAAAATTCAAATTTAAGTTTCCAGAAAGGGAGTCTGATTGGATCACAGCCACAGCCGCTGTCTAGGGCCACATCTGTGCTCCAGCGGTGCCCCTGGGCAGCTAGTGACAGAGGACATACGTTGGGGAGGCCTAAAGTACTATCTGGAATTTTACGGAAGTTTGCTGCCCCCTGATGTGGGACATACAGACTTTAGTGTGACAATAAGGACATGTGCTGTTTTTTTGCACACTCAAAGCAAGCACGGGAAAGACACCCTGGGAAGACAGTAACCATCAGAGCGTTACCTGTGTGGGAAGCGCAGC